ACGCCACATAGATGGCACATTCGAGAGATTCCAAAATTGGTGGTTGAAGTAATGTGTTGGATCCAAGTCTTGCAGTAACAGACGGTGTGTCCCTTTTTATTGCAGTTTAAGCACTGCATTTTCCGACAAGGTCCATGATGGTGATAGTTGCATTTGTTGCACTTTGGGAGGTTGCCAGCATACTGTCTGGCCGGGTTAGGGATAATTGGGATACTAGAAGAGATGGTAGTAGGAGGTATAGAAGTCATAGCCGCGAAGGCTTCCACAGTTTGTTGTTTTTTGCTCGCCTCTTGGGGTGATTTGCCTTTAGCTTTAGCCCAAAACTTTTGTTTGTTATTATTGGGCTTGGGATTCGGGGTGTCGTGGTAGTTTGTTGCTCGTTGAGGTACTTGATTGTTACTTGGATTGGAATTATCGTTAACAATCCCGCTAACATTCGCTTTGTTAGCGTTAAGGTGGGTCAGAATAGCTGACACGGCAGCCGAGACTGCAGCTTGAAAGGTAGCTGCATCAATCTGAAGAGTTGGTGTTTGGTTGATGGGTTGATCGTTTTTCTTCGGCGACATGATTCTGTTACACGGAAAGAAAAATGAATTTGTGAGCGAGTATGGTTGAACCTAGACGTAGTTTGATCGTTCGTGTAAAGAATAGAAGTATGTTCTCGAAGGTTTGACCTACATCCCTATGATGCAGTCCCAGTACGGAATAGGAGTATGTTCACGAAGGTGTGACCTACATCCCTATGATGCAGTCCTAGTATGGAGTAGAAGTAAATTAATAGAATGGTCTCAAAATGCTTATCTCCCAAACCAGGGTATTATTGGTTGGTGGATAACATGATCCAACCTTTGAGAGAAACTTGGAAATGATCCCAGAGTTAAATTACCATAGTCCAATAACTTGACTTGATGGGGTTTTAGATAGACTCCAATGAAAGCATGATGAAAGCATTTAAACAAAGATTGACACATAAGTTAGCCGACTGTTGATATCATTGATGTTTAAGACGTAATAGGTTTGGGAAATTGACCTTGTTGTAGGTCTTACGTCATATTTGGAGTAGAAAAGTCTTCGACAACATAAAGACTTAAATAAAAGTTCTTATAGTACAAGGTAATTACATAGAAAGTACTACACATAACATAGACAGGAACACAGTATTTCCTACTGGCGACGGTCACCCCTATGGTGAACCCTTAGTTCGGTTAGTTGACGTTCCATATCAAGCAGGTATCTCTCGTACACCCTCTGGCGTACTTGGAGATCTATGACTTCGGCTCGGGTTTCAGCTAGTGCTTGTAGCAGGGTCTCATGGTTTCTATCAGATCTCTCACTTGTGATCAAGGCGATTGGTGCGAATGGTATGCATTCTTGCATTGGTATTAACCTCTTTGATACATTGGAGAGGGTTAGGATTTAGAAATGGAGCTACTGGGGGTAGGTTCTCAACCTCAGGTTCGGAGTTATCGACATCCGAAAGGTTTTCAGCATGGTGATCATTCAAAGGGATTGGATGATCATTCTCGGGTTCTTCTTCAAACCCTCCAACATTTCCTTCGTTTGGAGGGTACGGGTGGCCGTGGGGATGGAGTCCAGCCACTGTGTTTGTACGAGAACAGGGAGATAAGGATTGTCTAGAACTAAGGCATATAAGGTTGACATAAAAGTTAAACTATCGTTTGCATAAAATACTCCTATAGTATTCTAAATGTTATGTTTGATTCTAAAGTTTATAAGTTTGGTAAGTTTTAGACTTGTTGTCCATTGTAGCTATCCCCTGGCATACACAGTTTAGATCTCGGAAAAATATAGTTGATTAGGCTGTATTTATCCCAGTCCCGATTACATATCCCAAGGGATAACTGTATTGCACAACTCATCTATAATAGTTCTATATTGTTTTAATTATGACACTGACCCTGTTATTAATATGAAATGAATGCATGCCTACTTTACAAAAACTAAATAAATTTAATTTTAAAAGTATGACTCTTACTCAGAGTGTTTTTGCCCAGTTGTGTTTATAGTTGTATATCAAAAATGGTTTTGATATACTTAGTTCACTATAAACAATGCTTTGATACCAATCTGTCACACCCCCAAACCAGAACGGCGGAAACGTTCGGGGGCGGAGGACATCATGTCAAGTATCATAACAATTGAATAGTAAAGAAAGAACACACCACCATAATATAAATATATTTGAAAAGTTTACATGATTGTATGTGTTACATGTTTGCAAAATAAATCAAATACAATATGGTGACCCAAAATATGTTACTAACGCCAGCGCGTTAGTCTTCAAAATTAGTTGCTACCTGGTTTAGCGGTTTCCTGAGAATACAAGTTACTTCAAAGAAAAAGTGTCAACATTTAAGTTGGTGAGTTCATAAGTAGTGTTTTGAGGAAATGTATACCATTCGAAAGTGCGTGTGTGTTTTCCAGAAAATCCGATATTTTATTATAAAAGTATGAAATGCATGAGAATATTTGTTGTATAAATTGTATGTATTTAAACCAGGAAAATCCCTTATTTTCCTAAAAGTGAAATGCAGTCTCAAATGACCAAGACCGTAAGCTGTAAGCAACTATGACATGCTCAAAAGAATGATGTTGTAAATCGTTATTGTACAAAATGAATGTATATGAACCAGGAAAATCCTATATTTTCCTAAATGTGAAATGCAGTCTCAAATTACCAAGACCGTAACCTGTAAGCAATTATGACATGCTAAAAAGAAGATGTATAGTTTTATTGTTAAGTAAAACTAGTTGTGGAAGTGTTTATCCTGAGTTTTTGATTATGCTGATAATACCCTAGAATATAGTTATTACCCCCCAAGCATGATTGAGTTATGTATTACTACGTGATTGAGTCATTGTTTCCGCGTGTTGTGAGTTCCGCATAACCATACTAGACGCAGTACCTATATTGACATTTGTCACCCCTAATGACGGATTGTAGCTAACAGTCAGGGTGCGAAGTTGTCAGCCCCGTATAGATCTATACACAGTTGTCACGCTCTCCCTCCAAGAGACTCTGACACCACATGATTGCTAACAACGAGTTCACGAGTAATATGATGAAAAATCGTTTGAATGAAATGATTTCCTTTTCTACCGTGTTACTAAGACGTGATGATGAGTTGAGTTTTCTTGTAAAAGCATCATGTTATAGTTGAAATGGTTATCCTTGATATGATGTAGTATGCAAACGTATAAATAAAACATATTTCTATTTATAAAACATATTGTATCCCAAGAGGGTAAAGTTGTGTTGTGAGGTATTTTGCATGATAATAACTTCATAAAATAGTTAAAACAACAGTATGAAAAGTATAGCAAAAGATCGATGTTTCACACGATTTTAGTCGTGTGTTTACTTGTATTCCCCCCCTTAAAAGTGTATAAAAGCATTTACAAAACATTTGAAAACGTAGTTATAGGGGTATGAACTCACCTGATTGATTGAAGAAAGCGAGATGAAAATCGAGTAGAGCTTCGACTCGGAAAAGTTGATTTTCTCGGAAATCTCGGAAATCCCGGGAATCTCGGGAATGAGAAACCTTACTTCGGGACTTGAAGTGAAAACCAGGGCTTTGGGAGGGTCTCGGGGGCTTAAACGTAGATTTTCGGTGCGAGAAAGAAGGGAACTGAGCAATGAAACTCGGAGCTCTTGAAATCTATTTATAGGGGCATTTCTGGTGTGCCACATCGTGGCTAAGGCTGGCCACATCATGGGGAGCAAGTCTTATCCTCTTCCATTGATTGGACGCACTCAGTCACTTGTCGGGTCGCGACAAAACTGTGCCACGTCGTGCAAACCTGACAGCCTCGGATTTCGGGCCTCGAACTTGTAAAATCTGTAACTTTCGCATACGAGCTCTGTTTTTGACGTTCTTTATATGCACACGTAGCTGAAAATATTCTATACAACTCTCGTTAAGACTTCATTGGATAATTTTGACTTTATTTTTAATTATTTATTTTTAACGGGCCGGGACACGAAAATTCCGTTAAAAATCCATAACTTCTTCATCCGATGTCCGTTTTCGTCAGACTTTTCATCGTTGCACTACTATTGTTGAGACCTTAGATTCTCATTTAGGTTGTTTTGGACAAAAGTCTCTCGATCTCTATTTCGAGTTTTTAGCTGTACTGCTATATCCGGATCTTGGAAAAATCGTAACTTCTTCATATGAAGTCAGATTTGGACGTTCTTTTTATGTACGCTCGCGGTTTAATGTTATCTACAACTTTCATTTAGATATTTAAGGCTAAAAACTATTGTATTGAAACTTCGCGTTTTTCGTTTAATCGGTGTTGCTGGTTTTGTCGGGAATTTTAGAATGGTTATAACTTCCTCGTTATAACTCGGATTTTTGTGTTCTTTATATGTATGAAAACCTTGTTACGATTACTACCACTTGATTTAACCCAACTAAGATTTTAGTAAAGTTATATTTTGACCTAAATTTGACTGGTTTTACATTACATTGTCTCTAAATATCGGGTTGTCACACTATCCCAAACTCTTCACCATATGTGTCATTCACATTTCCACAAATAGTCCACATATTCAATGAAATGGGACATCAACCAAAATTAACCAAAATCAGTGATTTCAAGAAATCAGGACTTCCTTGTGTGTGGAATTTTCTGTTTGGCATTTTTCTTCGTTGCTTGACTGGCAGAACGGTGGGTCTTGATAAAGGAAGAATGGAGGTATACGCCATGGTAGCAGGGCTATATTATGATCTTCATGTGACTATTCAACTCAATTATGGAAGGAATTTCAAAAGAGTATCGAGAATACGAATGCTGTTCAGGGCATTTCGTGTGCTAGATATTGGAGCCTGATCTTACAATATTTTTATGACAAAGAAGGGATATTAGTACCAGCTGATGAGGAGAAAGCTGTCTTTCGTACATACCATTGTCCAAAGGATGCAACGAATGATCTGGATGAGTTTCCGTTTGCAGCTCGTATTCCTGATGCGATGCTCAAGAGAATTGATCCTTTGAATTCTGTCTTGGTTTCTTACTTAGAAACTATTGATACTTCTGTGGAAACCGGAATTCTTCTACCACATTCATTTGAGAAGAAATCCAAGAAGACAAAGAAACCGGTTGTTGGGTCTTCGGATACCAAAGCCAAGTCTTCGAAGAAAACAAAGCTGGTTCCTGTGATTGAACCTGAACTTGATCAGCCAAAGCCTGTTGTTTCTGATACCCAGGTCATTGAAAACGAAATAATTCCTTCGAAGACTGGTGTATTCAAGCGTATTAAGATGAAATCGAAGACAAAGAGAAGATCGTTGGGTACGAAGATGGTTCTGAAACCACAAGTTTCTCACCAAGGAGTAATTTTTAGAGAAGTTCCTGCTCCTATGTCTCCTTCAACAAAGAAGAGAATGGCTGCTGACATGGCCAAACATATTTCCCAGAAGAAGAAGAGAAAATTGATCATTTCTTCTGATTCCACCACTGATTACACAAAAGTTATTTTGGAAACCCTTGAAGGAACTCTAATTCTTGATTCTTCTACCATTGATACTTCAGTGACTCAACCACCCGAAGTTTCAATTGCCAAGATAGTTTTTGTGGAGGCTCGAACTTCAGACATCACTGTAAACATATCTGATATGGGTACAAATGTCATTATGGGTGAGAGTAATTTGAAGGTTGCAGATCAAGGTATTTCTTTATCTCCACATATTACTCCCATTGTTCCAATAACATCTACCACTGATTCACCCACTTTCCAACATGTCATCAATACCCCTTTCACTTCAATTTTTTCATCTCAATCTATTGATCCACCAAACCAAAATTCACCTATTGATGATACCATGCAATTGGAGACTGATCTTCCGTCTCAAGTTTAGAGGTTGATTCTCTGCTGAAGGTCTTCGAATCCAAGGTCACAAACAAAGTTTCTGGCATGATAAGGGATTCTGAAGGATGGCTTTTTGGAGAAAGTTGATTCTATTGATCAATCGAATGATCTTCGTATGACTTCTCAGCATCAAGATTTCTTGCATGAAGTGAAAGACTTGAAACTCGAACCAAGGAAAGACATGTGCTGTTTGCGCAAGAAGTAAAGAAAGTTCGAGAAGATGTCAATTTACAAATACGCGAACTTCGTAAAGATATGCAGAAGGAAGTTCAAGCTGTCCAACAAGATTATGCTTTCGTGAATCAAAAGATTGACATTATCTGTGATGCAGTTACTAGATTTGTCAAACTCTTCGAAAGTATGAGTCCTCAATTTACTCTTCTTTCTGAAAAAGAAGATAAGCATTTTGGTGACTTGCTTGGTTTATTAAAGGGATTGAAGGAATTATCTATCAAGCCTATTCCTTCTTCGTTGATTACTTCAGAATTCTTGTCACATAATTTTTTGTAGTTTGAAGCAATTTTACACAAAAACTGTCCCCTCTTACTTTCATATCCAGCCTTCTTCCATCTGTGTCATGTGCCCCACCTATTGTCACAGGGGTGAAAGGGGGAGAAATGAAACTTGATTTTACGAAGGCTGGTGAACATTCGAAGGTGGAGGGAAAGAAAATTTCTGCTGCAAAACCAGTTGTTGTTTCAGCTAGTCCAGTCTCTTCTACTGTGGTCACAACTGTTCCATTAACCAAGCCAATACTAAAGGGTGTTGTAATTGGAGAAGCAGGTGGGAGTGCTTCAAAGACGAAGACTGTGGTGACTAAGACAACTTCGAAAGATAGAGGGAAAGGAATTTTGATTGAAAAAACGAAACAAGAAAAGAAAGCAGAGGTAGAAGATGAAGTAGAAAAAATGAGACATTTACAAAGTATTATGACTCTTCGTGCTCAAGATCCTTCAAATTTAGATAAAGGAGATCCTTCGAAGCAATACAACTATGAAACAATTAAGGCCAGAGTTATGTTTGATCACATGTACTCTTTTTAGAAGATTCCAAAGAAAAGTTATGTGGTTACAAACTCTGATTCAAGTCAGCTGGATTTTCCAATGAATGAGATGATGTTTATCATGCCTCAGTTTCGAGCTGAAGTCAAGTGCAAGGATGTAGATGAAGGGAAGAAGATGAAAATTCGTTTTCATGCAGTATTGGGTAAAGCTCCTGAAGAAGTCTGGTCACTGGAGAAAATAAAGAAAGCAATCAGTTTAAAAAGGGATGTGATTTTTGAAAGTGTCATCCAAAATCTCAGATACTCAGTGATCAGATCAAGTGGAAAAACTTGTGACTTCACAATAGCAGACTTTCCATAAATGAACTTGTATGATCTTATACAAGTTGCATTATTGCTAAGGGACAAGTCGTTTTCCTTTCTTCAAGATACTGAACCAGATGTATTCAAGCTTGGTTGTCAACACATCAAGATCTTTATAGAAAATTATTTTGAGTGTCTTGCTCAGACTGATGTAGAGTTGGAAACAACAAAAGGAATTGAAATTACTACACCAATGGCTCCCACGAAGAAACAAGCAGAACTGAAGAAATTCGAAGATGGTGAAATCTGCTTAAAACCATTGGGTATTGTTTTTGCTGGGAAAGATAAGGCAGGAATGGCAAAACATTTTTTGTTTCAAACTTGTGAAGTTGAGCGATATTCAACTTCTCAATATATGAACTTGGTCGTTCGTATGAATCATTGTAAAAAGAATAACGAAGGAGACAAGAAGGAGATTAAGAAGGTCATAGCGTGGTATATTGAGATAAGAAGGGTTATGATGTATTCAATCCAATTGTTGACCAACTGAAGACTTCGACTTTAATCACAAAGGGGGAGATTATAAGGGTAAAAATGTTGTAATTAGTCGAAGGGCTTAGGTCTTCATACGAAGAGTTTCATATCTTTGTATGTTATATAATGTATTTTTCTAAGGCAATGTATTCGAAGTTAATGTTCAGTGCTTATAATATTTTTTGTACGCTTTCCTCTCCTATAAATAGGAGTGTTTTATAGAGTCTTAGAAAGTAGTCTTTTATAGAATATTCATTTGTACTCTGTAAAACTTGAGAAGCATAATAGAGCTGAATCAGAAATTATATTTACATCGGTGTTCTTATCTTGTTAACAACTGTTTGATCATTTAAAACTCTGATTGATTTCATACTCGATTCTTTAATTCTACAACCACATGACCTAGGAAATCTACTTTCCGAATCCAAAATTCGCACTTTGAGAATTTTGCGTATAGCTTTTCGTTTCTTAGAGTTTCCAAGATTTGTTGGAGGTGTTGACCATGTTCCTCTTTACTCTTTGAATAGATGAGTATATCGTCTATAAACACGATCACAAATTTGTCCAGGAATGAACAACACACTCGATTCATTAAGTCCATGAACACTGCCGGTGCATTTGTTAATCCAAATGGCATCACTACAAACTCGTAGTGACCATAACGAGTTCGAAAGGATGTTTTGGGTATATCTCCTTCTGAGATTTGCAACTGATGATACCCGGATCTCAAATCGATCTTCGAGAAATAACTTGCTCCTTGGAGTTGGTCGAACAAGTCGTCAATGCATGGTAAGGCATATCGGTTGTTGATAGTGAGCTTGTTGAGTTCTCGATAATCGATGCACATGCGAAAAGATCCATCCTTCTTCTTTACAAATAGGATTGGTGCTCCCCAAGGTGAGAAGCTTTGCCTGATGAATCCTTTGTTGAGCAGTTCGTTTAATTGGCTGGATAATTCTTGCATCTCAGCTGGCGCCAGACGATACGGCGACTTAACTATTGGGGTAGCTCCGGGAATTAAATCGATCTTGAACTTGATTTGTCATTTTGGTGGGACTCCTGGGAGATCTTCAGGGAAGATATCGGGAAAATCACAGACTTCCGGAATGTCTTTTATGCCTTTCGTTTCGTTTTCCTTATCTACCACGTGGGCTAAGAAGGCATGGTACTCCTTACATAGGTATTTCTGGGCTTTGATGCAAGAGATGATTTGTAAATTGGAACCGGGTTTGTCACCATAAATTACAAGAGTTTCACCTTTTGGCAGATTTAGGCGGACGACCCTTTCGTGCCAAAGTATATCGGCATGGTGCAGGCTTAACCAATCCATACCGATGATGACATCAAAGCTTTTTATGGTGATTGGATTTAAGTCGATTTGAAATGAATGTTCGTTTAGAGTTAGTGTGCAGCCTATTTACATATCGTTTGTGCTTTCTGTCCTACCGTTTGCCATTTCAACTATAAATATCTTATTGAGTGATTCAGGGTTCTATTTTAGTATTTGTTTGAATATATGACTTACGAAACTCCTTTCCGCACCACAATCCAAGAGTATGAATGTATAAGCGTTATTGAGGAGAAACATACCCGTAACCACCACGGGATCAACTATTGCTTCGTTCTGCCCTATTGCCAACACTCTTCCTATGCCGCCAGCATTCCTTGCCTTAGGGAAGTCTCTCTTGTAGTGTCCAGCCTCACCACATCCATAACATGCCTGGCCCACCCCGACTCCAGGGACTTGGGTGATTGGTCGTGTCAGTGCCTTACAGAAACGGGCAGTGAGCCCTTTCTTGTTGCAATTGTTGCAGTACATCTCCCGAAAATTTCTACTGTGATGGAAATTACATTTATTGCACTTTGGTAGGTTCCCCGCATATTGCTTCGCTAGTACAGGGGTAACCGGAGCAGTAGTGTGGGTAGTAGCAGCATTGACTACCACTATTTGTTGCTTCTTGGAAGGTTCTTGCTGTTTTTGTTGGTACTGATGTTGTTGTTGTTGTTTTTTCCTATGGTTTGCTCCAGGACAGCAGTTGCGAAGCCTTGACAAATTCCATGGTCAACGAGAGCTTGTGCCAACTGTTTGGTGCTATCGAAAGTGACTGGTTTGGAAGCTAGTACGCTTCCTCGAATTTGGGGTGACAGTCCCCAAATGTATCTTTCGATCTTCTTGCTCTCTAGAGCAACCATCCCTGGGCAAAGGATTGCCAAGTCACTAAACCTATTGGTATAGGTCGTGATGTCCGAGCCTACCATAGTAAGGCCCCAAAGTTCCTGCTCTAGCTTTTGTACTTCGCCCATTGGATAGTACTCTTGCATTAACATTTGCTTTAGATTCTCCTAGCCCATAGAATTTTCCATTATTAGAGTTAGTGACTTGGCATGTCCATTCCACCATGTCAGGGCTCTCTCGGAGAATGTACAAGTGACAGATTTTACCTTGCTCACTTCTAGACATGCACATATCTTAAAAACCACTTCTGTTTTCTCTATCCATTGTGATAGAGCCATTATCCCATGGATCCGTTAAAAGTCATGGGATTGCTATTAGTGAAGTCCTTGAAGGTGTAATCCCCTGAACGACCTTAACGTTGGCCATTTGTAGAGCTATTCACTCCTCCTCCCGACCCATTATTACTCATCTGTGACATTGATGCAGTTACTGCAGCTGTTACAGTAGCTATCAGTATGGCATTTTCCGTTGATGGTGAATATGCACCAGAGGAGATGGTTGGACATGGTAAAGGATTACGATTGTGAGATCCTGTACCACCCGAGCAAAGCTAACGTTCTAGCTGATGCCCTGAGCCGTAGGGCGGAGAGTGCCTCAATTCGAGACATTTGTATGCGGTTGACAGTGATGACTCTGGTGTTTGACACCATTCGGGAAGCCCAAGAAGACGCCGTGATACTGGAGAACCGCAAGAGAAAGTGGGTGATCGGGTAGGTACTTGAGTTTGTTACCATTAGTCGCGGACTTATGACCTTTCGGGGTCGGATTTGGGTGCCGTATACAGGCAGGGTACATACCCCTTTGATGGAGGAGGCGCATAGATCGAGGTTCTCGATCCATCTCAGGGCCACTAAGATGTATTTGGATCTGAAGAAAGATTATTGGTGGCCATGTATGAAGAGGGATGTTGCATGGTTTGTTGAGAGGTACTTGACCTGTCATAGGGTTAAGGCTAAGCACCAGCATCCAAACGACAAGTTTCAGCCACTTGAGGTTCCTCAGCGGATGTGGGAATGAACTTCCATGGATTTTATCACCAAATTGCCAAGGACTACGAGGGGTGTCGATGCAATTTGGGTGATTGTCGACCGGCTCACAAAGAGCGCTTACTTCCTTGCTATCAGTGAGAGCTCTTCTACAAAGAAACTGGCAGAGCTGTATGTGAGGGAGGTGGTATCGCGTCATGGATTACCCATCTCTATTCTGTTAGATCGAGATGTACATTTCACTTCCAGGTTCAGGAAGAAGTTCCATAAGGAGTTGGACACGAGGCTGTATTTCAGTACCGCTTACCACCCACAGACGGACGAACAAAGTGAGCGGACGATTCAAATGCTCGAGGACATGCTTCGGGCATGTGTGTTGGACTTCGGAGGGATTTGGGACACGTATTTGCCGTTGGCTGAGTTTTCCTATAGCAACAGCCACCATTCG